AACTTGCTTGCATGCTAATTCCTACTGTACTCAAAACTATTATACTTGATTATTTTGTTGGTACTATTGTCAACTTATCTAACATTCTTTAAAGCAAATTTTGTTACATATTTTAGATTATTGAAAAGTTCAAATTGATTCAAAAATGTAACAAATATAAAACCGTTATTAATTTGACTTAATTACTGACAGAATTATATTTTCCTTATAGACCTGTCAATATTATCCGTTATCATCAATGAATGTATTAGGTACGGCGCCATAAATCTTGCTTGCTTTTTAAAATGATTTTCCTAGTCTCCATTTTATAAAACATTCTGAAATATGCTTTACGTTCAACAACTTTCAAGGCAAGTTAGATGCTATTGACTCACATCTTTTGTGGAAAAAGCCTTGTCTGTAGGCCTTAATCCCAATCCATTAGTAAAATACAATGTAAATCTTGTTCAAAACTACATAATATTTATAAATATAAAAACAAATCTATTATATAAAATTTATAACAATTATAAAAAATTTTTTTTTGCCATTTAAATGCAATTATTTACGGTCTTTTAACCGGTTATAAAAATTTACGAAGTCAACGGTGGCCAGATCAAATATCTTACGGTTGCGCCATATTTCGTCATGCCACCTTTACGCACAAATCCTGGAAGCACTGCAGATCATGGATCAGCAATAATTAGAATACCGCCTAATAATTATATTCATGTACTTGATAAGACCACTAACATCTCCCGCTTATATTTGGGTCCGAAGACACACATAAGACAAGAAAATGAAAGGTAATTTTTCCATCATATTATTTCAAGACTTGTTTTTGGCCCGGAGCCTATGGTGTCACTCACTTCATTCAACTATTGTAAAATATCTAACCCTGTTTTGAAGGATGAGAAAGGGGAAATTGTGTTTGAGCATGGTGCTGCGAAGCTAAGGTTTGGAAGGGAAGAATATCGCTTCAACCAACAGCCATTTCCTCTCTACCCCGGGGAAATTTTGAGTCTCCCGGTTACTCCACTAGAAATAGTCAAGCCTAATGATGCTCTTGTCTTGAGTGCATTGCTTGATTTTGTTGATTCAAAAGGTATCAAAAGGATTGCAGGAGATGAATGGCTTCTAGAAGGTCCAGGTTAGTGTGGATCTTTATTCATGCTCATATTTCATGTTTCTGTGTATCCTACAGAATTTCTATATAGTTGAGCGCATACCAAGCACGTGGCCTTAATTTATTTTCATCCGATTGAATAATCCAGTTCGGTGGTTCCTTGGATATTACTTTTCTTTAACATTGTATTAATGTAGTTACGAAGAATAATTGGGATTCAATGGATCTTCTACGCTAGCGTGTTTATCCCACGAGCTAATTATTGATTACTTTGCTGATTTAAATATTATATTTTTTTTCTCACCTTTTTCCTTATGCTCGACGCTATAGGATTTTGATGTTTAAACAATATATACCTAATACATTTGAGTATTATTCAATAAATGTGTTTAAGGAATTAATAAAGATGTTTCAAAAATAAATGCTTATCTCTTACTGTGTCGGGTCTGCCCAGCTTATTGACAATTTATCTTGAACTTTCATAGACGATTTTTCATTCCTGTTTCATTTTACTATTTCCTTTTCACTATTTAAATTCATCACTTATTTTTTTTAGCTACTTATTATCCAAGGATAGAGGAAACTGTAAAGACTCAACGGACAGCATTGATAGTAAAAAAAGGGGATGCAATACGGCTCCGTGCTTTGAGGGATTGTATCGATCGGCAAGGGAAAAAGCGCAAATATGGCGAGGAATGGATTGTGACTACCGAAGGCGCTTATCTTCATGGTCCTTACGAGGAATTCGTCCAGTATGTTACTTCCATACCATTGGATGAGCAGGCAAGACCACTTTTTAATAAGATTAGTTTGCACTCTGTATCGATTATGGGATGAATGACTGGTATTCAAATTTTCCACCAATAAAGATGCCATTTAATTAAATTTAGAAGATGAAGAAAACTTATATTTACCAATTGAATAACTTAATTTTTATTTAGTGGGTGCCGAAACTACCAGTAGATCTTGAGCAAGAGCTCTTCAGCCTGTCGATTAAGATGACAAAGGATTGATAGTTGAATTTTTCTTCATTCTTATCAGTAGGTCTCACAATGCTCTTTAATTTAACTTAAGCTTTATTTCCACAGATTCGCCTTTTCCTGGGTCTCATTAGCACCCATATCAGAACTAAAATCATTGTAATGTTACAGATAATTTAGGCACTGCTATCTGGGCCAGTGTGTCACAGCGAAGGTATGAAATTCAAGGTAAGCAAAGCCTCCTT